CAAGAGAGGAGGAGTAAATTCCCCTCTCCTTCGATTCTCATCTATCCTCCAGAGATAACCATTACTAACACTTTTGTGTGCAGCCTTTCTAGCATTTTCCTGTCTATATGAAAACATACATGTCTTTATTAGGCGTGCACATATACACACAGGTACTTTTATTTTTATTTATTTATTTTTAATGTTTAGTTTTGAGAGAGAGAGAGAGAGAGAGAGAAAAAATGAATGAGTAGGGGAGGGGCAGAGAGAAAGTGGGGACAGAGAATCCAAAGTGGCTCTGCGCTGACAGCAGAGAGCTGTATGTGGCACTCGAACTCACAAACCGTGAGTTCGTGACTTGAGCTGAAGTCGGATGCTCCTGTGGGTAATTATTTCCAATAATATTGGGAAACCTCTACCTTTTCTTTCAGACTTTGCTTCACAAGATCTTAGTAGTAATTGTGATATCATTTCTCTTTGTAGCTGCCGCCGATGCCGAAAGACTATAGTCCAGAACTAGCAGAACTAATAAGAACAATGCTGAGCAAAAGGCCTGAAGAAAGACCCTCTGTGAGGAGCATCCTGAGGCAGCCTTACATAAAGCGCCAAATCTCTTTGTTTTTGGAGGCCACAAAGGCGTAAGATACTTCCCTTGCAAATAGGTGGCTAGATAGACGGAGTAAAAGAAGGTAGCTTGTATAATTTTCGTATGTTAGAATTTATGGTGATTTTTAAATTTTTATTTATTATTTTCTTAAGTTTATTTATTTATTTTGAGAGAGTGAGAGTGAGAGAGTGCATGTGAACGAGCCGGTGAGGGCAGAGAGAGAGGGGGAGAGAGAATCTGTACTGTCAGCAGAGAGCCCGACAAGGGGCTTGAACTCACGAACCTCGAGATCATGACCTGAGCCGAAATCAAGAGTCAGATGCTTCATGGGCTGAGCCACCCAGGTGCCCCGGTGATTTTTTGTTTTTAAACATGAAGGAAAATTGTGTGATTATGGCATGTGTTGAGGTTTACTTAATTGCTAAAATCAGAAATATAAGGAACCATTTAGAGAATGACTTTAAATTCCTCAGAGGATTCCAAGACCTATCAATTACAATTCTTTCAAAAGAATATATATTTTAGAAACCATATGAAAGTGAGATTGTCTAAGAAGCCTCTTACGTTATGTGCCATGTAAGATAATAGTCATGTTTAAGAATGAGCGCTCAAATTTGAGAGCTTTTGTAAGTTTCCCTTTCACTCATATAAATGTCTCAAGAGAAAAATTTCTTTGGCAGGTGTTACCTTCACTAAACAGCTGTTTCAGGATCTAAGAGTTAGGGCTGGACAAGAGCTTCGTGATCTGTGTCTTGTGACATGTTAGATTTGAGAGCAATACTAGAGAGGCCCCAGGGGATAAAGAAAGACCATCTTTTTATTTACATTGTCTATAATTTGGCATCAAACAGACCTTTGGCCTTCCACAGCACTGGTCTCACCCTCCCATTGAATTCTCCCAAAGGGTTATTAGTTAGCTCAGTTGTAGAAATGTCACACTAAAAGAGTTGGGGATATTAATCCTCTACACTTTTATTCTGCAAGTCCAGGCTGAGCATACTCTGAAACTTGGCAAAGCAGTTGTGATTTAATCACAAACATATGAAACTTGAAAATTATGCCGGTTCTTCTGTACATAAGGTAATTTCTCATAGATTTTTTATTTTGGAATAGTTTTGTATTTACAGACAAGTTGCAGAGAGAGCACAGAGAGTTTATGTATACCCGTCACCCAGTTTCTCCTGTTGTAAACATTGACATACCATAAATGGCATCAGTGCCTTACTGTTGACTGAACTCCAGACTTTATTTGGCTTTCGCTAGTTTTTCTACTAATGTCCTTTTTCTGCCAGCATCCAATCCAGGATATCATACTACATTTAGTCCTCCTGTCTCCTTAGTCACCTTGTGTCTGTGACAGTTTCTCACTTTCTTTGTTTTTCATGACCTTGATTGTTTTTGAAGAGTACTGGTCAGGGGTGCCTGGGTGGCTCAGTCTGGTTAAGCATCCAACTCTGGATTTTGGCTCAGGTCATGACCTCATGTTTCATGAGATTGAGCCCCTGCATCAGGCTGTATGCTGGCAGCACGGAGCTTGCTTAGGATTCTCTCTCTCTCTCTCTCTCTCTCTCCTGCCCCTCCCCTGCTCACAGTCTCTCTCTCTCTCTCTCTCTGTCTCTCAAAATAAATAAATAAACATTAAAAACAAAAGTACCGGTCAGGTGTTTTGCAGAATGCTGCTGCCTGGTTTTTGGAAGACTATTCTTTTTTTTTTTTTTTTTTCAACGTTTATTTATTTTTGGGACAGAGAGAGACAGAGCATGAACGGGCGAGGGGCAGAGAGAGAGGGAGACACAGAATCGGAAACAGGCTCCAGGCTCTGAGCCATCAGCCCAGAGCCCGACGCGGGGCTCGAACTCACGGACCGCAAGATCGTGACCTGGCTGAAGTCGGACGCTTAACCGACTGCGCCACCCAGGCGCCCCCGAGACTATTCTCTCTAAATGGAGTAGTTCTATGGTTCTTATAATACATACACACATTTCTCCATATATGTAAAAACCTTTAATTTTCACTATACTGATGATAATTTTTTTTTTCTTCCTCATAAAGAAAGACCTCCAAAAATAATATTAAAAGTGGTGACTCTAAATCGAAACCTGTTGCTGCAGTGGTTTCTGGAAAGGCTGAATCAAATCATAAAGTCTTTCCCCTCCAGCCTCACTCTTCTGAGGGCTCCAAGACATATGTAATGGTATGTTTCGTTTTAAAGGGTATGTATTTTAGCAACTATTAAAATAGTAGGTATTCAAAGCAAGTTACATAACATCAAGTTAACCATTTTAAAGTAAGCCATTAATTGCATTTAGTACATTCACAATGTTGTGCAACCCCCATCTCTATCTAGTTCCAAAACATTTCATATCACCCCAGAAGGAAACCCCAGACCATTAAGTAATCATCCTCATTCCCTGTTCCATCCAGTCCCTGGAAACCACCAATGTGTTTTCTGTCTCTATGGATTTGTCTACTCCAAGTATTTCATATAAATGGAACCATATAATAAGTGACTTTTCGCGTCTGGCTTCTTTCACTCAGCATGATGTTTTTGAGGTAGCATGTGTCAGCACTTCATCAGTTTTTATGTCTGAGTGATACTTCGTTATATGTGTGCACCACAGTTTGCTTATCCAGTCATTCACTGGTGGGTATTGAATTGTTTCCACCTTTTGGCTATTGGTATGAACATTTGGGTACAAGTCTTTGAGTCTCTGTTCTCAGTTCTTTTGTGTATATACGTAGGAATGAAATTGCTGGGTCATGTGGTAATTCTGTGTTTACTTTCTGAGGTACCACAATGCCGTTCTCCAAAGTGGTTGCACCATTTTACTTTCCTACCAGCAGTCCACAAGAGTTCTGGTTTCTCCACAACCTCAGCAGCTCCTGTGACTTTCTACTTTTCTCATCCTAGCCATCCTAGTGGGTGAAATGCTGAGTGTAGTCTGGGTTTGCATTTCCCTGATGACCAATGACATAGAGTCCCTTCCCATAAGCTTCTTGACCATTTGTATTTCTTCCCTCAAGAAATGTCTGTTAAGCCCTTTGCCCGTTTTTTAATTGAGTTTTTTGTAGTTTTGTTGTTGAGGTCTAAGAGTTCTTTCTATTTTCTGGACACTAGCTCCTTATCAGAGATATGATTTACGAATATTTCTTCCCATGCTATATAGTTTGGCTTTTTTACTTTTTTTTTTTTTTAAGTTTATTTATTTGTTTTGAAAGAGAGATAGAGTGAACATGAGCAGGGAAGGGGCAGAGAGTGGGGAGAGAGAGAAGGGAGGGGAGGGGAGGGGAGGGGAGGGGAGGGGAGAATTCCAAGCAGGCTCCACACTGGCAATGTAGAGCCAGACATGGAGCTCGAACTCACAAACTGTGAGATCATGACCTGAGCCAAAATCCAGAGTCAGATGCTTAACAGACTGAGCCACCCAGGTGCCCTGGCTTTTTACTTTCTTGATAATGTCTAGTCATACACAAAAGTTTTTAATGTTGATGAAAGCCAATTTATCTTTTTTTTTTTTCTTATGTTGCTTGTACTTTTGGTGTCCTATCTAAGAATCCTGTGCCAAATCCAAGTTCATGATGACATATGGCTATGTTTTTTTCTAGGAGTTTTATAATTTTAGCTCTTGTATCTAGGTTGCTGATTCATTTTTAAATTTTTAAATTTTCTTTTATTGTGAAATATCTATGACATAGAATTTGACATTTTGAACCATTTTTAAGCATACAATTTAGTGGCCTTAACTACACTCACAATGTTGTGCAACCATCACCACTATCTTCCAAAACCCTTTCATTGCTCCAAATAAACTCTGTGCTCATTAAGCAATAGTCTCCCATTCCTCCCGTTCCCAGGCCCTGGTAACCTCTAATCTACTTTCCGTCTCTAGGAGTTTACCTGTTCTAGATAAGTTAATCATAGAATATTTGTCCTTTTGTGTCTTGCTTATTTCATTCAGCATGTTTTCAAGGTTCACCATGTCATAGCATGTGTCAGTACTTCACTCCTTTTAATGAAAGCTTTATAATATTCCATTGTATGTGTATATTATATTTTGTTTATTCATCTGCTAATGGACATTGAGGTTGTTTCCACTTTTAGGCCAGTGTGAATAACACTGCTCTAAACACTGGTGAGCAAATAACCTGTTTGAGTCTTACTTTTCAGTTCTTCGAGATATTTACCTAGGAGTGAGATTCCCAGGTTGTGTGATGATTCTATGTTTAACTTCTGAGGAACCTGCCATTCCTTTTGAGTTAATTTTATGGGGTGTGAGGAGTGCTGTGATAAATGAGAAGCCTATTTTCACTCAGGGTGAAGACAAATATTTGTCCCAGGAGAAACCCATGGTCACTGGCCCCTTGAAGTCACCAGCAAGTCTGAAAGTCCACACCTCCAAGCTGGACGTGAGCAATACTGCAGAATCACTAGCCACGATCAGTAGAGTGAATATTGACATCCTACCTTCAGAAAGGAGGGACTCACTGAAAGATGGCTTAGTTCGGGAGAATGAGCTAGAAGGTAAATGTGGTATTTCTCAAGTGAAGGAGAAGCTGCAGGATGGCACGAAGCCCAGCACTCACCCCAGAAACCTGATTCCCACATGGTCCTCTGGTGATGTCGCTGGGGGAAGGAATGACCGACTGAATCCTCTGCAACCCCTAAACACAGACCAAAAGCCAAAAGACCAGGTGAGTGATACGCATGAAGTGTTGGTTTCAGAGAGGTGACTGGAAAGTGCAGTTATGAAGGTGTGGCTCGTGTTGTTTGTCCTGTTCCAGTTGGTGTTTTGGGAAAGTTAGTTACTCTGTGTACCAGTTTAAACATTCCACAAACTGGGGTGCTTGGGTGGCTCAGTCGGTTAAGCATCTGACTTTGGCTCAGGTCATGATCTTGTGGCTCGTGAGTTTGAGCCCCATTTTGGGCTCTATGCTGACAGCTCAGAGCCTGGAGCCTGCTCTGGATTCTGTGTCTCCCTCTCTCTCTGCCCCTCCCCTGCTCACTCTCTGTCTCTCTCTCCTTCAAAAATAAATAAACATTAAAAAAAATTTCTTTTTAAATAAACATTACACAAATTAAAGGATAGGACCCAGGGCTTCTTAGATCCCTTCTGTGCCCTGGCATAGGGTATTTGGTGGAAGCAGGGTACTTGTATGTTTTGTCCCATTTTTTTGTCACTCTTCCGTAGGCCTCCACATGGATGGGTAGTTCCAACAAGTAGGTAACATCACATTTCTTCTTGCTCTTGAAAAGTTAGTGATTGATCTCATTTCTTAAGAATAAAAAAATATATATATGTATTGGAACCAAAGGGGAAAGAAAAGAAGGAGAAAAGCAAATGAGCAAAAGGATTTTGATACTAAGAGACTGTTCTGAGTAAATTTAAAGGTTAACTTTTACTTGAATTTGGAAAGAAGCCCGAGTTAAATGAAGCATGGCAATAGCTGAGGATTAGAGAGAAAGCCAGAACATTTGGTGAACTTTACGTTTTTATATGTAAAATATTCTAAAAATATATTTAAGTTGTATATTAACTGTTTTTATAATATGCTGAATATATTTGATATCATTTTTATATAGATATATAAAACTATTTTATACATTTATATTCAAATGTTTCTAATAAAATTTTATTTTTGTGGAAAAGCCCACGTGTAATGCTTTTGTCACTTAAAGTCATTAGACAGAAGTCTTAAGCTTTCTTTGTTTGGACACTGGGATTCTTAGTACTTTGTAGATAAAATTATGTGTTCTGCTTGGCTCTCAAATTATATTCAGGTATACTTCTTTCATTTTTTTCTAATTTCACAGTACTAATTCAATGATTTTTAGTCTGTTTATAGAGTTATACAATCATACTGTCTTATTCCCAAACATTTTTTGTAATGTTTATTTTCTTTTTTGAGAGACCGAGAGCATGCATGCAAGCAGGAGCAGGGGAGGAGGGGCAGAGGGAGAGAGAGACTCCCAAGCAGGCCCCACACTCAGCATGGAGCCCAACTAGGGGCTTAATCCCACCACCATGAGATTGTGACCTGAGCTGAAATCAAGAGTCAGAGGCTTAATGGACTGAGCCACCCAGCTGCCCCAGAACATTTTTATAGCCTCAAAAATAAACCCTATACCCACTAATAGTCACTCTCTAGCCCGTGCAACCATTATTTGTATGGATTTGCTTATTCTGAGCATTTCATATACAGGCGTACTTCAGAGATATTGCGGGTTCAATTACAGATCATTGCAATAAAGCGAACATTGCAGTACCGGTGTCACATGAAATTTTTGGTTTCCTGGTGCATGTAAGAGTTATGTTTACATTATAGTCTAACCATCATCTGAGCTTTCAGGAAATCGTAATCTTTTTGCTGGTGGAGGGTCCTACCTCAATGTTGATGAGTGCTGACCAATGCCGTAGGGGCTGAAGGGTTAGGGTGACTGTGGCAATTTCTTTAAATAAGACAGCAGTGAAGTTTTTGATACATTGGTTGACCCTTCCTTTTCCTTGAACACTTAGAAGCCATCGTAGTGTTAGTAATTGGCCTAATTTTCATATTGTTGTGTCTCAGGGAGTTAGAAGTCCCAAGAAGATGGAGAGAGGTGGGGGAATGGCCAGTAGGTGGAGCAATCATAACACACGCATTTATCAGTTAAGTTCTCCATCTTTTATGGGCACAATTTGTGGTGCACCAAAACAACTACAATAGTAACACCACAGATCACAGATCACCATAACAACTATTATACTATTGAACATTTGAAATATTGTGAGAATTACCAAAACGTGACAGAGTCATAAAGCAAGAAAATGCTGTTGGAAAGAATGGTGCCGATAGACTTGGTCATTGCAGAGCTACCACAGACTTTCCGTTTGTAAAAAATACAGTATCTGTGAAGCGCAATTAAGTGGAGTATAATGAAATGAGGTAGGCCTAGAAATAGGATCATAAATTTAGGGACTTTTGTGTCTGGCTTCTTTTACTTAGCATAATGTTTTCAAGATTTCTTCATGTTGTAGCATATACCAGTATTTCATTCCTTTTTAAATTGCCAAATAAATTCACTGTATGTATATACCATGTTTTATTTGTTCATTCATCAGTTGATGAACATTTGGGTTGTTTTCAGTTTTTGGTTACTATGGGTGATTCTGTTATGAATATTCTTACACATAAGTTTTTGTGTGGACGTACGTTTTCAGTTCTCTTGGGTATGTATCTAAGAGTGGAATTGCAGGGTCTTATGTATGCTAATTCTATGTTTAACTTTTTGAGGAACTCTAAAACTGTTTTCCAAAGCAACTGCATCATTTTACTTCCCAACAATATACAAGAGTTGCAGTTTCTCCACATTCTCACCAATACTTGCTATTTTCTGTGTTGTTTTATTTTTTTCCTAGCTTATCTTAGTGAGTGTGAAGTGGTATCTTACAGTGGTTTTGATTTGCATCTCCCTAATGACTGTGTTCAGCATCTTTTTATGTGCTTATTGGCCTTCTGTATACGTACTTTGGAGAAGTACTGTTTCAGATCCTTTGCCCACTTTTTAGTTGGTTTATTTATCTTTTTATTGTTGAATTGTAAGAGTTCTTTATTCTAGATGTCAGTCCCTTACCAGGTACAAGATTTGAAGATATTATTTCCCTTTCTGTGAGTTCTCTTCATTTTCTCAATGGTATCCTTTGAAGCACAAGAGTTTGTAATTTTGATGCAGTCCGGTTTTGTCTATTTTTTCTTTTGTCACTTGTGCTTTTGGTGTTATGGATACCTATCCCTATGTTTTCTTCTAAGAGTGTATAGTTTTAGCTCTTACATTTAAGTCTGTGACCCATTTGAGTTAAATTTTTGTGTATGGTGTGAAGAAGGGGTCCAGCTTCATACTTTCGTATGAATATCAGCTTGTCTTAGCACCATTCATTAAAAGATTATTCTTTCTCCATTGAATTGTCTGGGCATTCTTGTTGAAAATCAATAGACTATAAATGTAATGGATTATTTCTAGACTCTTAGTTCTGTTCTGTTGATCTGTATGTCTGCCCCCTGTCAGTAACACAGTCTTAATTATTGTAGAGAAGTTGAAGTCTTTCAACTTTCTTTTTTAAATGTTTATTTTCGGGAAAGAGAGTGTGCACACACGTGTGCACGTATGCAGGGGAGGGACAGAGACAGAGGGAGACAGAGGATCCAAAGCAGGCTATGTGCTGAGAGCAGATAACCCAATACAGGGCTCAAACTCATGAACCATGAGACCGTGACCTGAGCTGAAGTCAGTCACTTAACTGACTGGGCCACCCAGTCACCCCCAACTTTATTATCTCTTAGTATTATTTTGGCTATTTGGGGTCCTTTGCATTTCCATTTTAAGACCAGCTTGTTAATTTCTGCAAAATGGGCTGAGATTTCAATAGGCATTGAATCTGTAGATCATTTTCCAGAGTATTGCTATCTTAATATTTAAGTCTTACAGTCCATTAACATGAGATGTCTTTCTATTTATTTAGGTCTTTAACAGACTTTTTGCTGTTTAGTGTTCAAGCCTTGCACTTCTTTTATTAAATTCATTTTTAAATATTTTATTCCTTTTGATACTACTATAAATGGAGTTGTCTTAATTTTATCTTCATAGTGTTCTTTGCTTGTGTATAGAAATACAGTTGATTTTTGCATATCGGCCCTATGTCCTACAACCTTGAACTCATCTATTCTCTATTGGTTCTAATAATTTTTTTAATGTTTATTTTGAGAGAGAGTGCAAGCAGGTGAGGGGCAGAGAGAGAGGGAGAGAGAGAATCCTAAGCAGGCTCTGTGCCGCCAGCACAGAGCCCGATACCGGGCTTGATCTCACAAACCGTGAGATTATGACCTGAGCCAAAATCAAGAGTTGGATGCTTAACGGACTGAGCCACCCAGACCCCCTTTAATAATTTTTTTATAATGAACTGTAGGATTTTCTGAATACAATATCATATTATCTGCAAATGGAGATGGTTTTATTTCTTCTTTTCAGATGTGGTTGCCTTTGTTTCTTTTTCTTGCCTAATTGCCCTGGCTAGAACCTCCAGTATGGTATTGAGTAGAAGCAGTGAAGGTGGACATCTTTGTCTTGTTCCTGATCACTATCTTTTTTTTACATATATCACACGGGTTTTTTGTTTCTCTGATAGAACTTCATGTCTAGCATTTCCTCTTTTTTGTTGTTGTTGTTGTTGTTACTGTTTTTATTGATAAAGGTAGAAGTTTTTTAGGACCAATTGGATTTCATTGAGAAATGAATTGCTTAAGTCATTTGTTCTGTCATTCTTGTATCTGTATAAACTTTATTTGAACATCCTGTGCTTATCAGCAGAGAAAAGTTTATTTCACTGTCCAGAATTTTATCACTATTTATTATCAGGGTCTCCTTGTTCAGCCAGCTTATTGTATAATATTGTAAACATGTAATCATTTGCTATATTTTTTGTGTAATGTTACATGGACTCGAAATAATAAATTTACAAATTATTTTCTTACAGGAGTTGTTAGTTTGTGTTTGGCAAAGAACCTAAATGGTAGATGATAATGACTCTTAGAAAGCAACCTCAGGGCGGGACTCCTGGGTGGCAGGACTTGGTTAAGTGTCTGCCTCTTGATTTTGGCTCAGGTCATGATCTCATGGTTTGTGAGTTCAAGCCCCATGTTGGGCTCTGTGCTGACAGCATGGAGCCTGCTTGGGATTCTCTCTCTCTCTCTCTCTCTGCCTTCCCCTGCTTACATACTCTCTCTGTCTCTCAAAAAATAAATATATAAACATAAAAAAAATTTTTTAAAAAGCAACCTCACCTTGTATTAACATTGCATTTTTTGTTTTTCTTTCTAAAATGTACCACACAGGGGCTCTTGATAAAAATGTGCTGCTTGAATGAGATTCAATTACCAGTGTCCATCTGTCAGATGTTCTGATAGTTAAAAATTGTTTAAGGGGCGCCTGGGTGGCGCAGTCGGTTGAGCGTCCCGACTTCAGCCAGGTCACGACCTCGCAGTCCGTGAGTTTGAGCCCCGCGTCAGGCTCTGGGCTGATGGCTCGGAGCCTGGAGCCTGTTTCCGATTCTGTGTCTCCCTCTCTCTCTGCCCCTCGCCCGTTCATGCTCTGTCTCTCTCTGTCCCAAAAAAATAAAATAAACATTGAAAAAAAATTTAAAAAAAAAAAAAAATTGTTTAAGAAGTAAACATAAAGGGCACCTGGGTGGTTCAGTTGGTTGAGCATCTGATTCTTGATTTCGGTTGGGGTCATGATCCCAAGGTTGTGGCATTGAGCCCTGCTTTGGGCTCCACACTCAGCATGGAGCCTGCTGGGGATTTGAGGATTCATTCTCTCTTCTCTCTCTCTCTCTCTCTCTTTCTCTGCTTCTCTTCCCTGCTTGTGCATACTCTCCCTGTCTCTCTCTTAAAAAAAAAAAAAAAAAATGGAGAAAAAAGAAATGTAAAAATCTATTTTGTTTTAATAATTTGTATGCATTTGTTTCTAAAACCAGCTATCCAGATAAAATACTAAGTCCTTTGTGATCTTTATAACTTACAAGGTAATTTACCTTATCATCACTACTGCTAGGAATAGCTCCTGTTTTTTGAGCATCTAGTATGTGCTAGACAGAGTCCTAAGTACTTGAATGCACCATCTCCTCCAGCCTGCTTCAGTCAGGCAGTGTGTGTGAGGCATTATACCGCTTTATCGAGGAGGAAACTGAGGTTCAGGAGTATTAAGTTTCTCAGATAGGATTCCATTTGACTCCAAACCCAGTGCTGTTTTCTTGGTGCTTTTTAGGGTTTATCCAAATAACTGATATTTACTTGGGAAGTATGTATATATTAAATTGGATTTCATTTAAAACGTTTCCTAGTTTTCCGAATACAAATCCTATTAAAAGTTATGAAAAGAAGTATTTTTTTAAAACAATCGAACGTCAGTAGTTTGGGTTAATAACAATCTGAGTAATGTAATTAAAATAATTACTTACTTTTATTTGGGAATGGTCACTTGGAAGTTCAAGACTATCTCATTATTCTGTTTTCTTTTTTGTTTGTTTAATTTCATTATTCTTAAGGATCAAGTTGCTGGTGAATGTGTTCTAGAAAAACCAGACAGGACCAACCCAGGTTTACAGCCACACAGCTCCGGGTCTGAGCCTTCCCTCTCTCGACAACGACGACAGAAGAAAAGAGAACACCCTGAACACAGTGGGGAAAGGACACAGGTCAGCAGAGATCTCTTTGAAGTAAGTCACTGTGCTGTTGCTTGGGAAATAGACTTTATTTAGAATGACTAACAGTTGCCAAAAAGACACATAAGAAATGCAGGGAACATATGGAGAGGGGTAGCAATGGCAAGATGCTAAATATTAGTTTTCAAATGTCAGTGAGTTGGAAACAGAGTAAAGATCTTATCTTTTCCATCAAAAATGGACAAATCCTCTTGAGAGTTAAAGGAACAGGCTAACAAGAGTATTTCTCTGATCCCTCCTGTGTTATACTGATGAATAGTTTCTCCCTTATCTTCTGCATAGAATCATGTCTACACCTCATTTTTTTCACAAGCACCCTGTCTATAAGCTTCTCAGATGGTAATTCACTTTTGGCAGAGTTTCTTTCCAATAAAATGCAATGTTTTGAAGTTCTTGAGAGCAAATCACTGCCAAATACATAGGAGACTTACTGGTAGGGGAACTTTGGAAATGGTTGTATATGAAACTGATAATTCCCACCTCCCCTTTTTAATTATTTAAGTTCCAAGAGGCTCCTCCTCGACTTTTGCCTTCTCTTCCCACTATTGGAAAAACGGATATCACATTATCACAAAAAGATGCTGAAAATCAAAGTAAAGTGGTCATTGGGTCTACTGTGAGCTGTTCGAGCAGCAGGGAGGTGCCATCATCCAAGGTTTGTTGGAGTGTATATTGGATTTGTTTCAACCTTCTTATAAAACTTTTTGGTTGTAAAAATCCTATATATATTGTGAAGTTTTCTGTTAAAACATCTTAGCCCTGCCTTTTGCCAAACAATGGAGGGGACAAATTTGTGATTCTCAGCAGAAGCTTTCATTGAAATGGACAGATTCTATAGTTCCAGGGATGGTTGCTTCCACTTAATTAAGGAGACCAAAGTAGATTCTGAATGTAGGAAATGCAAAATTTTCCATTTACCTTTCCAAAAATGAGTACTTCCCAGAAATGAGTGTTCTGATCATTCTAGCTAGTAGTTGTAACCAGGATATGACTGGTTTCAAACACGTTCCTTTAAAGGCCTGTGGAAGGCCTGTCATATAGTGCTGGATGATAATGTCACGCATTCCAGGTGTTCTAAAAATAGTGAGAAGGAATGAAAGTAACGGACTTTCTTTAAAAGGATCGACCATTATCAGCAAGAGAGAGGAGGCGACTAAAGCAGTCACAGGAAGAGGTGTTCCCCTCAGGTAAAGTTTTCTCTTTCCTTCATCTATTGGAGGTTGTTGTTATGGCTTATGGATGTAGCATTGGTTCTGATTGTGAGATGTGAAGTATTTTCAGCATCAGTGATCCATCTGGGAAACAGATTTGGGAGAATTTTTAAAATTTCTTGGTAAATCTTTAAAGAAATCAGCATATGCGGCTGTTGGGTCTGGAACTTGTATTATCAGAGGAAAAGGATATTAAAAAGAGAGCAAGAGGGGTTTGAGTGGCATTAACTCCTGGGAGATTTGAGACAGGAAATGGAGTGAGTGTTCAGTTTGTTTCTGTGTTCAGATTCTGCTGGTCAAAGAGTGGTGTCTTCTCAGGAACAGAGAGAGGAAGCTGGGAGAATGGTGCTTCCCTGGGCTGAGGGCTGTGATCATTCTTATCGCTATCATCTAAAAACAGTACTAGCAGTTTCCATTTATTGAATGCTGACTATGTCTCAAGCATTATGGTAAGCGTTTTAAGAGCATTGTCTCATCTCATGTTTACAGTAGCTGTCAAAGGCAAGCAGCATTATCTCCATTTTGCAGCTGAGGAAACTGAGGCTTGGAGGGCTTAAATAGCTTGCCCGGGGTCACAGCACCAGTAGACCTAGAGCTGAGGTTTGAGCTGAGATGTCAGGTACCAGAGTGATGATGAATATGCTGTCTGAGGTACTTCTGGGCTGGCACTTGCTGGGGTATCTTTCATATCCTGTGTAAAGCCCACTTCTTTTGGGGCCAGCCCACTACAAACAACTGCTGGGGTGGTCACTTTTTCAGGCCCTTCAGTGAGGAGAGCTTCTCTGAGTGCATCAGGACCAGGGAAACCACCAGAGGAAGGCCAGCCCACCCCTGGCCGATGGTTGTCTTCTGACTGCTGTGCGGCTCAGGTATATTACATAGTCCTATGGAAAGGGGGGACGTGTCTATATCATCTGGCAAGCCTAATACAGTAAGCCTCATAACTGCCAGCTCCATTTATTTCTGGGACAGAACTGGCTTAAGTTCTGCCTTTTCACTTTTTTTTTTTTTTTTTTTTTTT